ACCAATTGTTAGCTTAAGCCTTATTCAATGATTTTTAAATTCTTGATACTAGGCGGTGGTTCTGTGAAATAATTTATCTGCGTGTAAACCCATAAACATTGTCAAATCGAAAGCTGTAACTTACTGCTCAAAAGTATAGAGTGGTTTTGGAAATAAACATTTACGAAACCCAGACCAGTTAGCTAGTTGTCTCAATTTCCTTTTCTTTTCAAAGGCTTGTTTAGATTCTTGCCAGGCTGAGAAACAAGTTGAAGAATGTGGATGTGCTAGTGGCCAATTTCCATCCCATTCAGATATTTGTAACTTAAAGAACTCAACAACAGGTAAAGGAAGTGGATGAAATCATGTTATTCAATTAACCAGTCGCTAGACATCTTAATGTACCTAATCATTCTAAGCAAAATATGGCAATCTGCGGTCTTTCCTTACACTTAGGTAGCACGGAAAGCCGTAAAAATCTTGAAAAAAAGCTCATCTTTCAAACCGGCAATCTAAATCCCACAGGGATCAACGAACGCTTTTCATTCCACTAATTTATTCTTGTTTTTCTCGTTGCCATGTTCCCACCAATAACGTAGCTCCATTTTCTGCCTTTAAAAGCACACACAACCCACAATTCCTCTATTCGCTCCGACGAAGGGCTAACGCTCGAAACGTCAGCTTTTGTAATCGTTACGGTGGCCAATTTACCATTTCAACTTTGTTGATATATCCAAATTATTTCGTTACCCCCACCGACGCAGCCCCAAACAGTTTCTTTAGAAACTATCAGCCTTTATTNAAGAATTCCATTCCTTTTTCTCAGTTTCTAAGACTTCGTCGTTTATGTAGTGATGACTCTGATTTCCACCACAAATCAGAGTCAATGTGCCAGTTTTTCGATAAACGTGGTTACCCTGTTTCTGTCGTTCAAGCGGGTTACCACCGCGCCCAACTTATTGATCGACATTCAGCACTACAAACGTCGCATAAGGAAGATTCCGACCGCATTCCATTCACTCTCACGTTTCACCCTCACAACCACTCAGTTAAATCCATCATTCTTAAAAACTTTAAATTACTTCAAAACGATCCAGAGACAAGCACTATCTTTTCGCAGCCTCCGCTCATTTCATTCAAACGCGACAAAAACATAGGCAATTTTTTGGTCAGAAGTTCTTTTCAGACTAATGACCAACCAGGCACTTTTAAATGCGCTCGTGCACGATGCAAAACGTGTCCTTTCATTCACAACACTGATAAAATATCGGGACCTAAACGATCCATTAAGATCACCGATCACTTCACGTGCACCTCCGCCAATGTAATCTATTGCATAACTTGCACTTATTGCAAAAAGATATACATCGGCGAAACAGGCAGAAGACTAGGTGACCGATTCCGAGAACACCTTCGAGACGTGGAAAGGAATGACAAGGACACATCGAAACCAGTCGCTAGACATTTTAATTTACCTAATCATTCTAAGCAACATATGGCAATCTGCGGTCTTTCCTTACACTTAGGTAGCACGGAAAGCCGTAAAAATCTTGAACAAAAGCTCATCTTTCAAACCGGCAGTCTAAATCCCACAGGGATCAACGAACGCTTTTCATTCCACTAATTTATTCTTGTTTTTCTCGTTGCCATGTTCCCACCAATAACGTAGCTCCATTTTCTGCCTTTAAAAGCACACACAACCCACAATTCCTCTATTCGCTCCGACGAAGGGCTAACGCTCGAAACGTCAGCTTTTGTAATCGTTACGGTGGCCAATTTACCATTTCAACTTTGTTGATATATCCAAATTATTTCGTTACCCCCACCGACGCAGCCCCAAACAGTTTCTTTAGAAACTATCAGCCTTTGTTTCAATTTAAGTTTCACATTGTAAAGCGCATCATCTTTCGGAATGGATGTAACTTGATGGAAATCAGGTTTATTTGGTAGAGAAATAAACATCTCGACAAATATTTCTACACACAGTGGCATTTCATGTCACTGGTTTCATTTTGAGTCCAAACGGACCGATTCGTGTCTCATCGCACAGTGTCATTTCTGTCTGTTCTGTCGTGTCGTGTCAGATCATACCATGCTATGTGTAGAGTACCATGAGTCAAGTGATCACTCTCAATCCTCTAATTCAACCGTATTTTATTCAGTAAACAAGATATTTACCGCACAACCCTCGTATCAATTATTTTGCTTTAACTAAGGAGAGCAGATTTACGACACGATTGAGTAATAGAAAGTTCCTTACAGTGGTAACGTTATGTGACGCTACGTAACGCAATACATTACAACATGCATTGTTATTCCGTACCATGCCATGCATTAGGGAGTTTAAGCAAATCACTGCGGCTGGCGCTGCTACGGCTATCGTGGTTGACGAGGCATGGGGAGAGTACGTCGCCGTAGCCCGCCAAAATTCAACTTTAAGCAACGCGAACTACAAACCTAGTACGGCTGAGAAGTGTAAAACCAATAAATTAAGCGTCTTCGCGGTAGTTTATTGCACGTGTAAAAACTCAAAATGACTTCGTTGAAAGGGACCAGGGATTCCAACGTTTGGAAAAAAAATCGTAAGCGATCCTGTGCACAGTGAATGAGTAAATTAAAATATTTAAGCTTACGTGTTGTAAAATTGCCAGTTTGGAGCTTATAAACACCAAAGCAAAGTTTCTACACGGTCCCTCATAACCCTCGTCATTCCTCGGCTTCAGCTATTTGAATTTCAAGTAGTCTTTGAGGTTTGAACAGGAAAAGTTAGACTTTCTACCTACTCATTTCACTTTGCGTTCGCTGCGTTATCCATGTGCACACTGCTTCGATCCTTCGACAAACCCGGCGGCAAAAATAAAGGAAGATTCACTCGGCAAGGGACAGCAAGCTTGATAAATATTCCCGATAAGCTATTTTTAAAGATGTTAAGTGTATTTCAATAGTTAAAATTGCTCAGGAGAATGTATAAAGCGAAGAAAGAAGCGAGGTAAGTTCACGTACCACAGACTACGCCGAAACCTTCCCACTCGCGTAGAAGGATTTCCCGCTACGGCTGGATGGGAACCACTGACATGCACAATGACTCGTTTCTGGACAATTTTACTTCCGGTAGCCGTAGCAGCGCCAGCCGTAGTGATTTGCTTAAACTCCCTATTGTCATGTAATACTCTGCCATACATTTTCATGTCACTTCAAGTGATGTCGGGCAGTGTCGTGTTGTCTCAGGTTTTGTATGGTGCATTGCAATGTCAGCCTAAGGAAAGTATTAACCTCTTAATCGTCATTTTTTCACTAGTGAGATTCAGTTCATGGCCACCCTTTCAATGGCGCAATATCCTGCCTATTACTTCGAGGTATCTACGTTTCTTATTTCGCTGCTATTACGTAATGTAAATTTTGAAGTTTCGAATTTATTACTAATTTTTCCCAAGATACTATATACTGCCTTTTTTTACTTTCAGGCAATACTTGAGTCCCGCGTGAAGGAAAAGACCACCATATATAAAGAGTTGTACAATGGATTTAATCTTAAGTGAGTAGGTATTTCTTAGAACAACAAATTCATATAAATATTTACATAAGTCACTTAAGTAAATGAAAACCAAAATCCGAAAGTCGAGCAATTAATCTGCAGCATCATTCTGTTATTTTCTATTCATTTATTTATTAGTAAACTTAGTCATCAATAAAATTTATTGATCCATTTGTTATTCCATTCAGTGAAAACTTTGCGCAAGTGAAGATATTCTACGAGCAACTAAATTACCAAAAGGTCTCCGAAAGAATCAGCTATAAGGTATGTTACTTTACAAGTTAGGAATGATTACTTCTTTGTATGTTATTGTGCCTCTTCCTTATGCATTTCTTAAATGCACTTTCTTAAAATTAGGTTCAATTTTTTTTTTGTCTGTTTACCCCGCTTTATTTGAATAGCCTTCGGTAAGCAACATGACTGTTATTCATTACTGACTTAGGAAAAACGACGGAATCTCGATTAAGCCTTTGATGTTTGAAAATCATTCGCCTTTCTATTTTTTTTTCTCCAGGGTGTCAATCTCGTCGCTGATATAGGAGGTCAGCTGGGCCTTTGGATTGGTATATCAGTGCTTACGTGCTGCGAGTTTTTGGAATTGGTAATAATATTAACACAAACCGTGATTGGGCGCATGAGACGACGAAAACTTATTCACATTCAACCTTAACCGAAAAATGGAACTTAATAATGATAGGAAAAAAAACTATTCCCAGTGCCTTATCTCAATTTGGTCAGGAATTGAACATTTAGCCAATACATAATCAATAGGATAATTACGTGTGTAGAAGCTGCCTTCTCATTTACATTGCTTGAAAATGGAGAAAAAGACCGTATCTAATTGTTGATCCTGTTGAGTGTTTGTACATCCTCATAATATTAATATATATTGTTCTGTCAATTATTAAATTTTCGAATTATTCAAACGCAGCGCTTTCTCGAAGCCTCTCATGTTACAATGCTTTAAAATGTGATAATAAATGGAAAAAAGAGTTGCTCGCTTGATAAGAATAATGATAACAATGTTAATTATAAGGATGATAATCAATTATCATGTAAAGGATAAAAATAATAAAAGGGCACAACGTGGGTCATAAATAAGGTATCTTAGTTTTAGAATATGTAGCATTTTAGAATATGTATATTAATTATAGAATATTGTAGCATTTTAGAATATGTATATTAATTATGCAAAAAAATATATACATCGAAGAAGGGATAAAACGTATCTAGGATCTCCCCACTGACGAAATTCGCTACATAGGACTCCTAACCCAACACTTGTTTCAGGAGAGCAAGAAAACTGAATTCATGTAATAACTTGAGTGCGGGTCATGTAAATATTGCCTTTGGGCTATTGAGAAGACTATAAGATTTGCAATCGACGCGTTTTTGAAAATGTCAAAACAATGAAAAGACTGGGGCGAAATTAGTGCGAAACATGAGTGCGATTTGTGAAAAAAATGCATGCACTGTTGAGAACCAATCGGACTTCAAGAAATTGCCAGTGTTTCAAAATGAAATTAATAAAGATCAACCTGATATATACACAGATAAGTGCTAAAAAGTCGCTTTTTTATACAATATAATCCACAGCTAGATATCGTTTGCTCATATCACAAGGTATTTGACTGTAAGAGAGACTGAAATTCACCTCTTGTAAAATGTCGTTGTCTCAACTAAATCACTTGTATTATGTTCGAATTTTCTTTATCATAATTACTCCTTAGGGTTTATTGACTGTCTGAAAACTTCCGAAACCAAGGAGGGCAATTGCAAGATGCAACCACCCACTGTCAACAAAATTACTAAGCGGCAGGTTGTCCTTCAGGTCATTAATATTTCAGTCATTATTTTCGCGGGTCAATTTGACGCAACTTTGAAGATTTTTTTTTCAACTTAAATGAAGCTTAAGACGTAAATGAAACTATTTTCCTCGCACTAATATCTAGAAAAAAATACGTACTGTCAGATGTTACCCATAGTCCTGACAGGAGTATCTTTCGAAACAAAAAGTAAACTGAAAATATGGTAAATAATCAACGCCAAGGATTTCTTATTTTCAACTTTATTTGCTAAAAAAATTAGATTTCAAGAAATTCTATGAAGGATACTGGCTATGACATTTTTTTTTTTAAAGAAAAAGACCTGGTTGAGTTCTCTCTGATGGTTGAGTTAATAAAACTACACAGTTTGACTTTTCGATTAATCATCAGGCTCTGTTTTGAGGAATTTTCCTAATAACATTAAGTGATGAGGCATTATGTTTTGTTTTGCATCTTATTTCATCATTTGGTTTTTTTCCTTTTGGTCAACATTTTACCCAAATTGAACGCCTAAAAGTGAAGTTACGAAATTCTTTGAAACTTAATATTGACCGTTAAAATCTTTCAAAGGCCGATTGGCTACCTTTTGATCTCGTTTATTTCATTCTGTACATAACTCAACTCCAGTCGAGGAAACAGGCACTAAGCATCTGCCATCGTTTGTTTTTGTGTTCTTTGTCTTTGGTGTATGTACAACCCACAAACACATGGCAGTATTTTTTGTCCTTTTAATGAGCGAAATTTCGCTAACCCAGTTTATTTTATTAAGAAGTGCATTCCCCTGTTTGTCTTTTTTCGCTAAATTGTCAGTTATAGTAGATCATTACATTAAATGACTGCTGCTCTGATAAATAACGAAAGTTATAAAAATGTTGCGCAACGCATATCAATGAAACAATCTTTCACTATCATAGAAAATTAGTATCTATTTTGTAAATTAATCACTTAGATTCAATTGCAGAATTTTCAATCCCAACAGTCGATGGAGTCAGCTCCATTTATGATTTTGTCAAAGTCATCACTTATGCTCAAAAAGCCCGCTAATTGGTCCTTTTTCTACAAACACACCAAAAAGACGTTGCCATCGTCACTTGGAAAACTTTGAGACAGGACCAGGTGACAAAGTCATTTCTGAAACAGTGTTTGAACTTATTAAGAGAGCGGAAACCACGAATTACTGGTATGTATTAATATTTTCAGGGTTTTTTCAACATTTACAAAGTAACCATCGTGATAATGAACTTGACATCGTATACTATAGATCATGAAATTGTAAGCGTGTACAGTATGAAAAGGTAATTGTATATTTTGCTGCCTTCGCTGTTTTAATAAAGAATGTTATGCAACATCTCGTTTACAACGTCTGAAATATCTCTTGGGTGAATATAGAACACATTTTAAAAATTCCGAAGGCGTTAATTTATCAAAGGTACTTAGATATGATCAGAACATAGGTTTCTGGTCAAATGCGAGATGAACAAAGATTTCTATTCGGTGCCATGCCCCAAAAGCCTTTATCAAAAAAGACTATGAGCCAAGAATGAATACTGCATGTAGTGCTTAAGCTCATTCTTAGCATTTTTCTATTCCTAGCGTCGAGAGAAGTCAAGCATAGGAGCAAACTCGATTTTTTGAAAGTGACCTGTTATGATTATGGGGAATGAATGACTGTGTTATCACGTAAAGGGGATATACATGTAGCAAATGATATATCGTTATTTTCAGACCTCAGCATTTCGACATGTCTATGATAAAAGCGAAATGATATTTATGAAATACACCAATAGTTGAGAGGCGAAACAGAATCACAGCTCCCTTATATAAAATTTTCGTAGGGCTTCCTGTTTTCAATTTCTTTCAAGGGACACCTCTTAGAGGTAATGGCAGCTGCAACTGAATATAACGTTAAGAAAGTCGGCGAAGACAATCAATCGCCGAAAGAGCTAGTCAAGAATTTTTGTGGCTATACAACAACGCATGGAGTTGGGCGACTGGCAGAAGCAAAGACACTGTTTAGCCGTTTTATATGGACTGTTTTCATACTTGGAGCATTTGCCATGTTTATATTCCAAACGCATGGTTTGTTTACATTATGGCTGAGTCGTCCTGTTGCTACTGTGGTGAAGGTGAAACATACCGCTGTGAGTATTTGAAAATTTTATCATTCCAGGTAATTTCATTGATGATGCTGTTTTTAAACTTTTGTTTTGTTTTGTTTTTTGTTCATCAGTTTGTTTTGTTTTGATTTTTTTAATTTTCATGAAATAATACTACGGTGGCCCATAGGGGACATGACACATTTTTTTTATCGCGCGATAAATGATAGATTATCGCGCGATAAATGGAGATTATCGCGCGATAAATGGACATTATCAATGACAAAGAAATTTAGAGGGCATATAGTATAGACTGGAAGATGAGCAAACTGATGAAAGTTTATTTCAAGGTTTTAGTGTAACACAACCGTGACAGTCATGCAATCATCAAAAAGTTATCACAAAATATAAATAAATAATACAAAATTTCCACGGGCTCGGACTTCGCAAAATCAAGGTTTACTATACTGATTCAAAGAGCTATGTGTCGTAGTATTGCAACGTACTGCTAAATGATCTTTTTACATGAATAAAACGAACTATCGACCTCAAAACATAGCTTCTCAACTGTGGCAGTCATTGTCGTCTACGGAAACAACATGCATGACAGCCGATTACGTGACCTGACAAGTTTCCATTTATCACGAGATAAGTGATAAATTATCGCGCGATAATAATAAATATTATCGCGCGATAATAAAATTATCGCGCAATAATAATAAAAATTATCGCGCGATAATTTCCATTTATCGCGAGATAAGTGATAAATTATCGCGCGATAATAAATATTATCGCGCGATTATAATAAATATTATCGCGCGATAATAATAAATATTATCGCGCGATAATAATAAAAATTATCGCGCGATAATTTCCATTTATTGCGCGATAATTTGCATTTATCGTGCGATAATCTTCAGTTATCGCGCGATAATTTTTCATTTATCGCGCGATAATTTCCATTTATCGCGCGATAATTTCCATTTATCGCGCGATAATCTATCATTTATCGCGGGATAAAAAAAATGTGTCATGTCCCCTATGGGCCACCATATAATACGCTATAACAAAATAATTAAATTCATTGACGGTTGGTTTGGCTCGTTCATCCTTTCATTTACTATTAACCATCCACTGTTTTTTTTTTTCTGTCTAGTTTGTTCGTTTGCTTGTTTGTTTGTTTTTGCTTACTTACTTGTTTGCCTGTTCTGGTTTGTTTCGTTTTATTATTGTCTTTTTTTATTTATAGCATTCCATTTTTCCAGCCGTCACTATTTGCAACCAAAACCCAATAAAGGAAAGCGAAATATCGAAACGTTATTTTGATGAAATTTATCAGGAAATCGACGAAAGGATGGAGGAACAGAAAAACGTTGCCTCAAAAGGTGAGCAGCTTTTCTTTTGAGGTTGTGAAAGCTTTTGAGAGCTTTTGAAATAAACTTTCAAAAGATCAAGACATTGTTTGCATAATCTTCACACACCAGACTCAGATAGTACCGTCAGGCCAACCAGCGAAACTACGGTCCTACCAACAACAGATGATGGCCTTGATCCCCCCGTGAGTGCTTCTGGGTCTGGAGATGGAGACCCGTCTCCAACAAACAACGACACAACGGAACACTATACCCCGGAGGAACAGTTCATTGTCGACTATCTATTTGAGGACTTGCTACTCTCATTTTTGGCATTAGAAAATCAGACTACCTTACACAAAATGGGTCACAAGTATGAGGATTTCGTGTATGATTGTAACTTCAGAGGAATTGACTGCAGGTAATCATTAGTCAATATCCGAACGTAGCTGCAAGGAAGTGGGGGTGGGAATGGGAATTAGGTGAGAATTTTCCACTCTTTTTATATTTCTCCTCGCTTTTTTATTGTTTTGTTTTGTTTTTTCACATAATGGCAAAGATATATATTATCTTACTTATTTGTTTTTATCGTTCCCTTTCTTGTTCTTCTTTTTCTTCTTCTTCACTATCATCTTCTTTTCGTTTCTATCTTGTTACTTAGGACACGTTATTAGTGAAGGCAACGCTGGCGCTATTTCTTGATTTCTAACTTACAGGGAAAACTACTCAAAATACTGGAATCGGTTTTGGGACTATCGTTACGGTAATTGCTACACATTTAATGGTGGAGTGGATGATGACCACAACAACCAGACAATTCTAGAAACACACAATACAGGTCCATATGGAGGTGAGAAACATTAAATAACGAATTTTCATATTCGAATTCAACTACCAGCCGGCTGGCTTAGCATGCAGACTGCCGGATCACCCCCAGACTTTTGAAGCCTGTGGAATAAAAGACCTAGAATAATGTGCCATCTTTGCTATGAAATATGCAAAAGTTTGATTGGACATTAGATTGGAGGGGAAGTCCAAGGCCCCATTTGTGCCTATTTATTTTCTTGGCTGGCAAGGGATGTTGCCTGAGGACGAGCAAACGCGCGTATGCGTCCGAAGTTGTGAGTTGTTGCAATACAGGCCCAAAATAGTCTCTCAACACCTTACAAATTTCTTAAGAAAGTCTGCTAATTAATTCCCCAAGGAAAAAACTGATTAAACAGTAGGATAACTCGCCATATAATTCGCAATTAAATTATTTACGAAATCATGGATGCACTCACAGTGTTGTGTGACAAATAAAGTTAGCTCTGTAAATCAAAGAGAGCGTTGATCATATTGACCATAATGTGTAGAACCACTCTGATTAACTTTCAATTTGCACTGCCGATGTAAAACACTGGCTTTAATCAAAGTTGCTTTTCACCTTTTTCCTTTCAGGGCTCAAATTGAACCTTAACATTGAGTCAAATGAGTACGTGCCAGAGATAAGTCAAGCTGCTGGAGCTAGAATAGTGATCCACCCACAAGGGGAGATGCCTTTCCCAGATGAGGAAGGAGTCGACCTGGTGCCGGGTTTTTCTACTACCATTGGAGTTCGAAGGGTAAGAACATATTTTTCCTTATCATTGTAGATTTATACTATTACCACTTGTTTTGTACTCTCTTTTGACATGGAAAATGGGAAGAAACCCTCTTTATTCGCCCTATTTCAAGAGGTTACTACAGATTATAAAAGTCAGAGTATATAAGAAACAGTAAATTACATCAATAATCAAAAGTAAAATGTGCAAAGAGACCAAAGTAGCATAGCTTTCGAGTTGGCCACTGACACGTATGATTAACTGGTGTATCTTAACATTTACACAAGACTTACTTTACTTTAATTCTATATTTACACTAACCAAGGTATTTATACACAATTAATATTATAAACAAAGAGAATAGAGAAGTGAGTAAATAGGTAAATAAATAAATAAAAATTTTATTAAGTTAAAGGAAGGAGAATTAATTTTTTTTAATAATGAATCAAAAGAACAAAGACTAAGAACAAAGAAACTAAAGTAAACTAAATCAATGCATTCTAAGAAGCAGATTGCGAAGTTAGCAGATATAGCTTGGATTGTTTGGAGAAGCGATAATAACATAATTTTTTTTAGATGCAGTGGAATAGTCTCCCATATTTTCGATGCAATGAAAGTAAAAGTAGAAGCTCCGTAATTATTATGTATTAGAGGCCTACGGAAGTTAAGGTTAGAAACAAATCTAGTGTAATGGCCATGGAAGTCAGAAGCCAGAGGTAGAGTTCCAGAAAAAATTGCTGGGATGCCTGTTGGATTGTTTATAATTTTATGTGCAAAGAGTCCTACTTTTAGTTTGAAAATATTATCAATTGTTAGGATATCCAATAAATTATAATAAGGCGTAGCATTCTCTCCACTGTGTGCAAAAAAAAATTGAACGAATGCATTTATTTTGCTTAGTTCTGATTTTATTTAGTCTAGTTTTGCAAGCACTTCCCCAACTAGTGATAGCATAGGTCAAATAGGGATAGATGAAAGAGTAATACAATTGTTTCAGAGTATGCAGATTTATATAGTGTCTCAATTTAGTAATAATTCCGATATTTTTTGCTAATTTATTCTTAATATGTTTAATCTGAGGTCTCCAGTGTAAGTGTTGATCAATATAGACACCCAGGTATTTTATTTGGCTTTGCTACTTCCACTTAATCTTGAGGATGAGACTAGGATGTAATTTGTCTTTGAAAAGTTTATAGATAATTTGTTTGTAGCACAGTACTTAGCTACTAACTTAAATTCTTCGTTCATGACAGACTCTAAGTTACGCAGATTATTACTTTCATAGAACATATTAGTGTCATCAGCAAAGATTCGGAAGCATAGTTTGCTGGAACAGTTTGGTAAGTTATTAATATAGAGCAAAAATAAGAATGGTCCCAAAGTTGACCCTTGAGGTGTACCACAAATAATGGTCTGACTACTAGATATAGTGTCCCCGATTTTGACAACCTGATTTCGATTGTACAAGTAACTTTCAAACAATCTGAGAGGACCACCACGTATACCGTAGCTATAAAGTTTCGATAACAGAATATCATGGTTAATTGTGTCAAATGCCTTTGAAAAGTCAAGAACAAGACCACAGGTAACCAAGTTTTTATCCATAGCCTTCTTAAGTGAGTCAGTAATTTCTAAGATAGCTTGCTCAGTTGAGTAGCCCTTCCTAAATCAAAACTGATACTTATACAAAATACCATATTTTTCAAGAAAATTGTATAGTTGACTATATTAATTAGCTTTCCTAAAACTTTACTAAAAGGTGAGAGAGTTGAAATAGGCCTATAGTTGGCTGGGTCAGCCGCATCACCATTTTTGTAAACTGGAGTAACCTGTGAAACTTTTAATATATTTGCAACTATACCAATTTCGATCGATTGATTATGAATTTGCGTAAATGGAACAGATAATGGCTCAGCAGCTATTTTTATAAGTTTTTTAGGAATGCCAATTGATGATTTGTTTGTATCGAGGTTTTTGAACAAGTTATAAACCTGAGCTTCTATGACATTTTCCAAAACAAAACTGTTGATGGGTGATGACGAGATATATTGTGTAGGATTGCCATTACTTTTGTAAATTTTACTAGCCAAGATTGGGCCTACATTAATAAATTGTTTATTAAACTGATCTGCTATAAATCATAAATCTGGTATAAATCATGTTATTCCTAACTATTTTCAGGGGAGTAGTCTGGCTTTTTGTCTTTCTGTTTATCAGTGTGCCGATAAGTTTCCAAGTAGCTTTTAGATTATTTTTACACATCTCAAAATGCCTGCAGAAATATGTTTTCTTACTAATATTCTTAATTTGGTTAAGCTTATTTGAATATTTCTTAAATTCAGCTATTTTGGCTGGATCACTAGATAAGAAATGGGTTTTGTACATAGCGTGCTTAGATTTGATTGATTTAATGATTCCTCTTGTCAACCAGGGTTTTTTAATAGCCTTTGTTGATTGCTAGACAGTTTTTTTTGGTGCATGTTTTTCAACAGTCAATTCAGTTACATCGATAGTGCGAGCTGTTACTCCATGTAAATCATTGCATTGTTCAGCAATCACATTCCAGTCAATTGTATGAATGTCATGGAGATATGACTCTGTGTTAAATTTACTGTAAACTCTAATATACATATTTTGTCTATTATGCATTTTGAGAGGTGTGTCAACCAAACAAAAGACTGGCAAATGGTCTGAGATATCAACTGTGACAGCCCCAGAGGTCAATCTATTAATATTGTTGGTATAAATGTGATCTCTCAATGTTTCTGTATGACTAGTGATTCTAGTAGGTTTAGTTATTACTGGTAAAAGATTAAAAGAGTAGATCAAACCAAGGTAGCTCTCTGTTTGCTGATAAAAATAATACTTAAGAAGGTCAATGTTCATATCTCCCATTATATAAATATCATATTTGTTTGGGTTAAGTTTGTTTAAAATTCATCAAATTTAAGCGTAAATTCTTCCACATTTGCTGTCGGGTGTTTGTAGATACAGCTGATCATAATGTGCTTTCTATTGTTGCTGGGGTCAATTTCAACCCAAAAGGATTCGACTAATGGTAGATCTATTTGCAAATCAGGCATTGGAATGGCATTGAGAGCTTTGTTAACATAAATAGCTGCACCTCCTGCAGGTGTAGGGGAATCAGTATGGAAAAAATTATAATTTTTGTATATCAAGATTAGTGATAGAATTGGAACTCAATTAAGTTTCTGTTATAGCCATTACACCCGGTCTTGAGTCCAAGGAATATAACATGTTATTTAACAGGGTCAGATTTTTTGTTAAACCTCTTATATTGCAATGGAAAAGGAAAAGACCTTTACTCTGGGTAGTATTGGATAGATTATTCAGTTTTGACACACTATAGTGCTCAGACTGTGGATTGTTAAATATAGAGTCAGGGTCAGCTTCATCATTTTTATCATGATTAGGTAAGAGATTATAGAGATCAAATTTCATGAACTCATCAAATTGTCCAGTCCAATTATCAATCGCAAAGGTAAATTCTCTGTCATCAAGATCATAAAAGGGAAATTCCTGTAGTGAATTCCTGTAGTGAATAGTGTAAGGGTATAAGATCATTCAATGATTGCTTATCTGTTCGAGATAATCCTCAAATTCTTCATGTGTCACAAAGGCTTGTGTGGGGGACGTATCATTTGCTTTCAACATAATTTTACCGTTGCTTGTCCACAGATATTTCAAATTGTTTTGTCTCTTGTACTCCGTTATGCGACCAAATAGCCTCTTGCGATAACTTGTCAATGATTCGTTAATAAAGATCTTGCCATGGCTTTTTTTAAACCAGATCTAAAGAACTGCTGTCGATGTATCTGTACTTATCATAACATTTTACTACCCTCTTCTCTTGATTCGGCCGTGTTTGGTTCATTTCACCAGTTTGGCTGACGAACGAACAATGAGTTTCTTTTATAATATCTGTTACAGAATTGATTCAGTGGTAGAGTGTAGACTTCACGTGTTACAGTTTTCATCTTCTTATAAAATGTTATTCGTTTGTTTCCTTTTGTTGAATATATATTCTTTCTGTGATAGTCCACAATATCATGGCCACAAGAGGGGGAGATCCATCATCGTCGAGTTTTAAATTGCATAATTATCTGGTTTATTTTTAGGAGGTTGTGATAAGGGTGGATCCTTTTAACAATGGTAGCTGCAAACATTCCAACAGCGAGCAAAAAAATGATCTTTATAAAGTGAAGTATGGATCATTTTATTCAAGGGAGGTAAGAGTTAACAATTTTAGGCCTAAGGTAATTTGCTACTGTTCTCTTGTATTTGATGATGTCAGAAACGAAACCCCCTTTCCATCACTTGAAGTCAAAAAACAATAACCAAATAAGGCAAAAGTGGGAGGGTAGCCCATATGAAGTTAAGAAAAACTGAGGTGATTTTGTTTTATAATTTGAACGAAGAAAACTCCAAAACTACAAACACAAACTCCGAAATCTGAAGGTTGGTTTGTGCGATACCTTGTTGCTCTTGGCAGCGCTATACATGGTTTAGCATACTTTCCTTTCTGAATTCATTAAACTGCATCGTCCCTATAAAAAAAGCTCGAGACAACCTTTAATCGCTTGGATAAACCATTTCATCTTTCTTACCTGTCAGGACTAGCTTAGCAATGTTAAAATCTAATCTCATTCGGAGATGGCTTCCGATACTCTAAATCGTTATGTATTTGCAGTCTTGCATGCGATCCTGTCTGGCGATAGCCCAAATCAAAAAGTGTGGATGTGCTGATGCTCGATTTCCTGTCGAGGATCGTCACATTTGCAACACAGTCAAGAAACCTGATACAGGTTAGGGTTGAATTTTTTTAATTGATTTTCGATGTTTTTTGTTTGTTTTTTTTTACCTTTCCCTCTCATCTTTTGTCATAATTTCCTTAGCTGGTTATCAGCTGTGCAAATTTTAAGCGGTACCACTAAGAAAGTAGAAACCTCCTACATGTCTCTTTGAGCTGTAGGGCTACTCCACGATCCATATCGTCATTCAATGACTTCCTTTTGTCGTTCAATGATGAAAATCACGTCTCAATTACTCTCTTTCAACTCATTTCACTGCATTTTATGTGTTAGCGACTTGCTATGAGGAATTAACATCTCAGTTCAACGAGGAAGGTCTTCATTGCGATAAAGACTGTCCTGTCCCTTGCAGGTAAAATACATAGAATTTATTATCCCAATTCTTAAAAAGACAATAAATAACTATAATATTGTATACATAACTTCTTGGATTAGATGCTGGCATGATAACTTTTTTATTCAAACAACGTAAATGTAGTTCAAGAGACACTCTTAAAATAGGAACGATGCATCCAATGAAACGGGCTTCAACAGTTTGGCAACTAGGTCATTGATTATTTTTTGTTTCTAGACCTAAAACATAAAACAGGCATCTCTTAATAAGTGCGATGAGAGATTAACTCTAGAGTAACGACCATCTGTTATCATTTATTTTTACTGTCTTATCAAATTCTAGTGAACTGATATATAAAACTTCCATGTCCATGGCAGAGTGGCCTTCTGAGGGATTTCAGGTGGGATTTTTTAATTTATTTTTTCCTTGTATTTCGTGAAAATAATGCTTTTATCAAAATATTTCGAACTTCTTTCCTTGTATCAGAGATGAATTGAAAAAAGGGTGAATAAAGCCGACTATATGTTGTATCTCCTTTTTTCTTGCATGATGTCCAAGACTATCCGTCAAAGATGGCAAAAGTGATACTAGATATGAATACGTTCGTATTATAACAAGATCTGGTAGCATACATTACAAGAGAAAGAGCGATAGCAAGAAATAAAAAAAGAACAAGACGTAACCAAACAATAGGCAAACAAATCACGGCAACTTTCCAACAGCAAACAAAAGCCAAATACAATATAAAAGAGACAACAATAACAAAGATGAACAAAGTTGAAAAGAAACTAAAGTTCGAAGTGCCACATAACTCCATCGTGGTGCCAACAAAACACAAAATACCGTAATCAGTAAAAGCCTCATCTTTTTGCTCTTGTATCTATAATGATAGGTTAAAGTATGTACTTATTTTGCTTTGCCAACAAAGTGCCAATACTATATACTTGCACTCCATGATAGTGAAATTTGATTTCAATCTCATTTTCACTGTGCTACTTCAAAAAAAGCCACAATGAATTTTCATAATCTTCACCAGGAGGTGTTGTACAATCGCGTCATCAAAAGAAAAAATGCAGCAGCTAAAAACCAGGAGAAAGAAGGTCCTGAGTTCCTGAAGTAAGTAGACGGTAAACCTTTTTACGAACTTGAATTAATGAATAGTAGAACTCAAAATAGTCATGATTTTCACATAATTTCAAGGAGTAGTCCTTGTCTATTGTTTTTTTCTTTCTATGCAGTATGTTTCCTGCACACACTTTATGGATGCATTTGAATTAATATTCATTTCTCGTGTAATTCAATTTCACAGTCGAAACTTCCTTCAAGTGAAAGTGTTTTACGAGAGACTTAATTTCCAGGAAGTTCAAGAGCACCTGAGTTATAAGGTAATTTTTTACATCTGGAAAATAAATCGTAATGATCATGATGCCATATTATCCTAAACGTTTATCAGAACCAATTATCACTAGTGAGTCTTAAAGTTCTGTCTTTGTAAGGTTATATGATGGTATCAAATATTTTATCAGCTAATGAACATTATTATTAATGTTGCCATCATTTTCTTATTATTCCTAATAGGGAATCAACTTGATTGCCGACATTGGAGGTCAACTTGGTCTTTGGATTGGCATTTCGGTACTAACTTGCTGCGAAGTTCTGGAGCTGGTGCTGCTCTTGGGGCAGACCGTTTTTAAACGGGTCACTGCGAAAGGAAGCAGAGTAGAAATACGGCAATAGCGGCAGAATATTAGAATGACCAAAACAATAAGAACAAACATCGAGTATAATGAATGGGTGTTCCTTCTCTCTCCGAAGCTCAGTTTAGTAACTATAATAACAGGGAAAGTATCAACATTGTAGATTGTAAACAAAAAACGTCGATTTCACTTTTAGCACTCAAAGAAAGATACCGAAAAAAAGAAATAATTTCAGACTCTTTCTTAAGGAAGTTTTGTATCAGTAGATGCAATGTTCGCTCGATTTTCATGTCAAGTCGCGCCTATTACCATGGCAAATAAGACGTAATCAGTATAACGATTATTCTTTGGTCACTTTCTCTCCCAATTTAAACCAACTGCATTTCAAATAACCCCAATATAAAACATTGAAGCAAAAAAAAAAAAAACAAAGGCGAAGAAGTAACATGTGTTATCCAGCTTTTGTAAACTTTGTCATTTAACCGTAGTTTCAACGGACTTTCACTGTAGGGAAAATCATAAAGAAAAGCAGTTTTGCGTTTCCTTTCTAGCTGCAAAACCACGCTTGTAACTAACACCATCAAGGAAACTATAAAGCTCTTATATAATCTTTCAGAATTGTTTAATGTATAATTGTATGATGGACTTTAGTAATTGGATCAGATAGGTTGAATAGTGCTTTATGGCCTCGCTGATTGGTTGGTTCGGAGGTGATTAGCAAATGCCATTCCCCTCTGAGCAGCCAAAGAGACAAAGCGGCATGTCAACAGTTTAATTTCTGACCAATTTTGGTATATTGACAAAAATAAACTATTTGTTTTGGTTTCTGAGTGGTATATACAAGAATTATTCATCCCAGTATCGGTGAAACCGGTTATGATATTTAACGAGCTGCTTCGCAGCTCGTTATTTAAATATCCTTACTTGTACCACCACCATTCGCTTTCACTTCGGTGGATAATAGTGTTAAATAACTCAACAAAGCTAATACAGAGTCCTCCAAATACGTATACCATTTGGGCCTTACGAACACATTTCTCGGGAGCAATAATAAAGTATTTTAGATTGTCTCCCGATGTCGTCACTTCCGATGTGGACAACGAGATTTGAACTGCATTCAACCTGTCCTTTCTCGGCGATGAGGTTGACTAATTACGTTTACGTCCATAAGATTGACTGATTTTCAACATTAGTGATTGGGCATTTCGAAGAAGTGTTTCCTCAATGTGCTATCTTAAGAATTTCCTTTAGTGCTTACGATTGAGTTTCTAACGACACCTTTGTCAATGGCTAACATGCAGTCCATGCATGTGGTGGGCGTGAAATTATGTTGCAAGAATCTGACATTAAGCTCACTGCGCTTCTTCTACTATGATGAAAGACCGCTTTTTTTTAACCAATCAAGGTTCTCGTTACCTTGAAACTCCAGTCAAAATTTATTATTTTAACCAAAGTTTTAGATAAATGGGAATAAAAGACTTTGCAAAGTGCTCTGAAAGGGAAAGAAGGGGGCTCTTAAAAGGGGAATGGGGGACAAGTCTTATTAGAGGACTCAGCAAGTTAGGCTTAGCTCGGTGAATTTCCATAATTTTTTGATTGATTACCCACAGTAATAAGCCTCAACATCTTTCAAATTAAATCGTAAATCCTTAATTTCATCAAAGATATAGAGGCTTTTGCCAGGCAACTGAGAATTAAAATGCGTCCATAGACAAGCAAGAATACTTACAACCGAGCTCAAACGGAAAAGGAAAGTATACTATTTCTGGACAAAATCAGTCTGGCAATTTAATGATATTGATATGTTGAAGACACTGGGTGTAGATCTTGGAGAAATCACTTAAATACAACAGACTGCCAATAACCATTGTTAGATAGTCAATGTTTTGCGATGTATATGAGGTTCAGGACACCGTCCTAGGAAGTCATTTGCATCGCAACTTTAAAAAACGCCTTAGTCGTCAATCGTTAGAGAATTTATATTTGAGGAGAGAACGTCAGATTCAACGTATCACTACTAATCATCCCTGACAAAAATATAAGGAACTTTTAGATATCTTTAAGCAAATCCTGAATCGATCCGAGACTTAATACCATCTCTTTTTTCGAAAATTTTTTGTATAAACATATATGTGAACACTGGGCACCTTTTTAGAAGTCAATGAACAATTCTGCTTATTCCTAGTCACCTCACAGTTTTCTGGGCTTACAGCGTCGTTCATAACTCATACGCGCCCAGAAAGTTGACAGTATGATCACCTTCTACGGTGCCATGACCTAGAAGTCTAACTGTGATTACGCTTGACTTTTTCATCACAAAAACAGCACCAGAGTAGGTGGCTTCTTCACCTTTTACAACTTTTGATAGGTGAATATTTCCATTGATCAGGATTTCGAATCCTGTCCTATCGTTGTCAGTTTGAAGGAAATGAAATTGGCAGTACACGAAGTAGCGACCGTCCCGTGGAATTTCCAAAGATGTGTTGGTGGATTTTATCCCTCCTGCCAAATGTGAAGTTGGACACTCCGAGCACCAGCGGGAATATTCTGCTCGAAAATAAAGAGACTTAAGGATATACATACATACATACATACATACATACATACATACATACATTCATACATACATACATACATACATACATACATACATTCATTCATTCATACATACATACATACATACATACATACATACATACATTCATNTCAGCTCAGTAAAGGGTTATCTACCCACATATAATAAAAAAAAGTTTCCACGCTTAGCTTTTTCTTTTTTTTTTTTACATTTTGGCGCGCACAGAAAGCTGCGTAAGCGCCAGTTACTCGACATACCTGCGTAGCCCGTGCGACGAAATAGCTTCACGGGATTGCAAAAATTTCAGTTACAGCAAATTATACAAAAAATTTATACTGGTAGAAAGATTTAAGCTTACATCTCGTTTAACGTTTAAAGCGACATATCAATGCCTGCAACCATTATGTTTGATACGAACCTAGCAAACTTTTAAACACGTTCTCTTGTGATTCCTGCGAAAGTATTTAGTATAATTACCGGTAAGATTTTCGCGGACAATCTGATCGATTTATCTTACATTGTATGCTGAGACTAAAACTTTTCACCACAGGCAAAGCTTTGTCGCACGGCTCAAACAAACATAGCGAGCGATAGAGCTTCTTGTATATGTCCGTTTTAAAACACACGAAAGGACTCCAAAGCACACTTCACTCTGATTGGGCAGAAAAAACAAAGATTTTCTGGCACCAATCACATGACAGAACGACTGCGACCGTTTGGAACTAGTCTTGTAAGACATTGTCTCCAGGGGCTCTTCTGCCCTTAACTTGAAATCGACTCACAGCACCTGGGTCTCCGAAGATGGTAATTTCAACGATTGACCGTTAACTTACAATTACTGGCTATAAAAGCTGGAGCACGGTTGCTACTGGAGATATAAAGACAACGCTACTTATCCATATAAGTCATGTGACTGGTATGCATAATTTCGGAGATTGTTACTTGATTATGAAGTTTTTAAGGAGGTATCCGTTTCTATGGGGGCATGAACTTGCTAACTCATTTCGCTTGTTTAGACTGCAAAGTTCCTTTTTACATATAATCGTGAGTTTTTCAAAAAAACATCAATTACACTTCTTAGTGATGTTGTTGTACGGTTTGCATTGTTTGATGATTTTCCACGCTAGCTTGAAAGGTTTGTTATTGTCCTTCAGTGTCCATATGTGTTTAGATAATTCAGTCTCGTGTCTCTTGTTTTGGTGTCGGAAGGAGGCTGTGTGGTTTCTGTACCGTTCTTTAAAGTTTGTCGCGAGTCCGACGTATGAATCTGTTGACGTTTCAGTTGTGACTGTTGCTTGGTAGACTACGTTTGATGTGAAGTATTTTCCCTCTAGGGGGCATTGGTCTTTTTTCCGACAGTTGCATTCTTTGTCTAGTGTTTGTGGTGAATTTTGTGACTGGTTGTAATCTGATAGTAGCTTTTTGTTGTGTGACGCGATGATGGTTTTTCGGGAAGCATCTGTCAACAATATTTAAGAACTTTCTTTCCAGATTGGTCTTCACGTTGGAGTTCCATGGTGGATTATACCATATCGCTTTTCTTTTGCGATTTTTGTTGCGTTTTTGGGCTGGCTGTGGATCATATGTAAGCTTAAAGTCGTAGCCACTTTCGTAGAGGGCTTTTTGGTAAGGAGGGCTGGCGTTCTCGAAAACTTCTTTGCTTGATGATATGCTGGTTAATCGCTTGTTTATATTTTCCGGGATGTTCTTTAGCAGTGCAGGTGGGTGGTTACTTTGACTGTGAACATAGAGGAGTTTGTTGTTCGGTTTCACGAATGGGTTGTAGGATTCATTTGTGAGGTCGAAGTTTACATCTAAAAAATTGATTGCTTTCTTATTAGCTTCGATGGTGATCTTCAGGCCATTAGACTTGAAAATTACGAAACAGAGCTGTCGTAATAAAACGATGAACTACCTCTGAAGTCTTGAACCAGTTCGTAATATATATATCTATATATATATATATATATATATATATATATGCATCTTTGTCTATGGCCTAATGACTTACCCAGACCGTCTGAGAAACGAAATGCTTTACCATCACTCGTCACATGAATAGATGGCTTCTCCTAAACAGAAGGCAAAATGATCAAATGAATTAACTTGACCAATCATAATCAACAACTCACTTGTCAATCAATAGGTCAATCATTCAATCTTCATAACCAACTAATATTCTTTGTAGAAAGTGCAACGCCATGGAACGGTGAAGTAGCTTTCAATTTGTCTCCATTGTTCAACTGGTTTTTTTGCGATTATTATTTCAAATCTTACCTCCTTGTACGCAGTCGTTGACGAAGTTACAACACCACGAGTATCAGACGCTTCAGTACACCCCTTGAATTCAAGTTGCATTTGGAAGGAGGAAAAAAATTATGATAACTTGAGACTTCACAATGTTTTCTTTTGTCGCTTGTGAGCTCAACTACCTCGTCACATACCCATATACCACATCCACTGCAAATTTGAAGTTTAATTTGAAAAAACTGAACAGCTAGTTTTCTTCATCAAAGAAGTTGTCCTTTTCTTGCTCAGTTGTTACCAAATCTAGCTTTGCGACAGGTTCCTCACACTTCTGTTCTCACCCAAAAGAACTGCTACTATGCACTAAAAAGTATCATCCCATATGGCAGACAAAACACAAGTCCTAGTTTACAATAGATGGAGTCAACCTTAGACAAGAGTAGACTTGGTTGTATCATTACATATCCTTTAGAGTACGAAAAGGAACATGAAACATGTTTTGCCAATGAGCAAGTACAGCACACCCGGACTTAAGGCTACGGTACTGACGTTTGGTGTATGAACTCAAATAACAGATAGATTAACTAACCTTTGATGATCCAGAAGATCCGGGTGGTCCAGGAGGACCAGGATAGCCAGGGTCACCCTGTGATAATTAAAAACTCATTCATTTATCTTATTATACATTTGTTTATTTTAATATTTGCCTCTAGATCTCACTTTGGATCGTTTCAGTTTTGAACTGCTAAAATGACGCTGAGAAAATAAATTCAATGCTTGCCAATTTATAATCATTATGAGTTATGTTCGTTAAAAGTGTAGTAAGGATTAAACTTATAGCAGTTTCTTACTTTTACACCGTCCCTTCCATCTCTGCCATCCTTTCCATCTTTCCCATCTCTTCCGTCTTTCCCCTTCAATAAAGGAGCCATCTTTTTTATCAAATCTTCAAGCGACAGCGGATTGAAATCCAGTGGCTTTGCGTCCTTAGAGCTTCTCGACAGAGAAATCACGTCCTTAAGATATTTCGAAAAAAAATGTATCAACAAACAAATAGGAAGAAAAAACGCAAATGAGCAATAACGGGAGCATTTCGACCAAAGTACAACGATTAGGAACACACCAAGGAAGAAAAAGACACCAAAACATAAAAAAAAAATGCCAAATACCATTCTCCAATAAATTTTGAATGTGATGATTGTTCCTCTTACATTTTCGTGTAGACTTTTTTTATCCCGTATGTATTCCCTGTCTTCATTCCCCGGGCCAGCCGTAAAGTGGTGAAATCTGTCTGAATTCTCACCAACACCCATGTAGTCATTTAACGTACCCAGAGCCTCAGGAAGCTGACGTTTGTCAACTGAATGTTCTTTCTCCGTTCCAAATGAATCTTCCTCAATATGTAGTTTGCTAGCCAAGTTGGCAGTTTTGTCGTGGATATTCCTCTTCACTTGGTCGTCATATCTCGGTTCAATACTCCGTCGTCGTCGCACAAGATGCAGAGCCTCGTGTACCAAAGCGCTTGGGTTAGCTGCAAGTTCTTTTGCCTTATGTTTAGTTAACCCTAAGGCAGCTGCACTTGCGTTGTCGTTGAACTTTGCCCTTTGGCCTGTCACCACAAGGACTGTAGCGGATATCAGTGAGAGCAAAACCTTAAATTTTGTTGGAAATTTCATCACTGATGCTTACAGCAGACTTAAGGCATTTCTGAAAAAGTCACCAGAGAAAAAAAGGAACATATCTTAATAAAGAGAACCATCGACTGTGCATCCCGAAGCTAAAAAAAATAAATAAAACAATAACAACATCAACAACGACAACAACAGCACCAACTGAAACATCAAGTCCGACTGGCTCACCAACTAACCGACTGACCAGCGGTCTAACATATCACATTGGTTTATTATCACTCTTTGTCTTCTAACATTGTCAGATGGCTGATCGGGTCAAATGACTTCCAAAAGCATTCATTAAATCAAACAGATGGCAAACTCAGTACTGTCTTTATTTTTCTCCCTTTTACGTCCTATGATTCTTCTGACCAAAGGAAAATTCACCGCTATGCTTACCTCAAACATTTTAATCAAACTAAACGAGTGTTAGCCCCGAATTACTTTTAAAACGACATTCGCGATCCTTTTACCATGAAGTGTCTTGGATCTCAAATGAATAATTGAGGTACACTGTTTATTTTATACGAGAACTACAATTTTCAATAACAGAAGTCACTTTGTGTCAAACTATGTTTCACCTAAAAAAGCGGTTTTACAGCTGTTAAATTCTACGAAGAGGCTATTCGGGTTTCCCCTATTGGTATAAAAGATAAAAAATATGTCAGTGCTAGAGGGGAATGCTCGTTTAGTTTCTTAATTGGATTAAAGTTCTATTTTATTTCGTACACAAACTCAATAAAGCGGAAAATCTGATCAGACAAAAGCCCTTCATGGCATACAACATCTTTTCGGTCGCTAGTTCCACTGATGGCAACTAAAAGATTGCAGTGCGAGACAGTTTGAGACACTAACGAACAAATCTATGGTGGACCGTCTTAGGTCAAACTCGTTTTTTCCCTTACTTTTCTACCAATTCTTACTTTGGTTATCTGGGAAAATGGATATTTTATAATTTCCTCAGTCGTCTTACGCCTCTTGCAACGATTAAGTTACACCTCATTAGCTGCCTTTACAATATTTGATAGTGTCTTCAGGTTTCAGTTTTTAAAATAGGAATTAATATCGTTTTCTTGGGCAATTCAAGGTTCAGTGAACTTTGTTCAAATCAGTGGTGACAGTTTTCAAGTGGGAGGTAATTGGAAGCCGTGAAAAAGCACGAAATTGTCCCATGCCACCCGCAAAGGCAAATGCTTGTTTAATGCAAATATCCAAACATCAGCTGATGCCAGCACAAGCATTGACCATGAGTACTACAGAAAGAGATCTTTTATCCTATTTTGAAGGATTTACTTTTTCAAAACCTCATTTAAAAAAGAAAGAAGAGACGTTAACTGAAGCTGTGCCTTATTCACTGGCGATTTGTTAAGCTGTTTTTAGGGCAGGTGCCCTATAGGGGGTCAACAGTTCAAATGAAACGATATCACCATTGTGATAAATATAATAAATTAAGTGACGCCCTATTTAAGAGTTGTTTTGGGAATTTTAACTGATAAATGAGCTGAATTAGATTTTCTCTATATTGAAATAATGGCTAAGAGAGCATCTGTGAGCTGTTGAATAAGTATCTGCTGTATTTTTCCATTACATTTGGGTGGAGTCATCTCACTGACTAGCCGAACACCATCTACACAGATCAAAATCTAAGAAGCGAGGACTGAAAACGAGCCGCATCTAATTCAAAGTGAACAATATGGTTTTAAAAGTTTCCTTCGTCATCCAGAATTCTCAGCAGTTGTCCTACTCCCTAGGATTCTAATTACCTACCAGTCGATACATATCTATATATGTATAACTTAACCATCATAATGGTAGACATGAACAGGTTGTTATCTTTGCTGCTACGATAATACTATAATGCCACATGTCTTAAAACAGAATTTTATCTTTTCCCGAGTTCCTAACGATAAAGGAGCACACCCTGTTTGGAATGAGCTCTCGTCCCTGAGTCAGTCTTATTGACGCTTTCAAACAAACTCGTTCCTATAGAGCAGGTAGTACAATGTTCACCAATTTAGCTGGTGTTGCTCTCGAAACCATTTTTCAATTTCGACTCTTCAGGTAATTACCGACTCTTGAAGTAATTACCGAGTTTAAACTTACCTGGATATCTTCCAGTCACTCTTTGACTTGTTTCGAACATCTCAAAGGGTGCTTTGGAGTATTTTGCACCCGAAAAATCTCATCCGTGCTTCGTTAAACTCAAATTGTGTTCCTCCGAAGTATTACTAATTCTTACAGATGCAAAACAGGTGGTTGTCAGACATTCACTCACCCGGGGTAAATAACTTCAAAAAAAAAAAACAACAAAAAACAATCGAAATAACTTGACAAAGTTACGCCTATGTTGAACATAAGCAAAGCAGTCTTTAATTTTCGAGGAAAAGACATTTGAAATACTTTTTTTATTAGATTTTTTTACTAAGAGAGCACTTGAATGCCCAGAGGTTGGTACCAGCATGACACTCTTTACGCTTGACCAAGATGAAAACAGGGAACATTTACTTTGTTTACCATTGCTATTTTCTAAGCGAAAGGTTTCAATAAAGTGGTTTGCACCTATATCCCCTTCGTTCAATAAAGGCATTTATTAGTTTAACAATATTTTTGCCGAAGATAATTGAACGGGAATTACATAATTACGTTGTATATACGATAAAGAGTGCAAATTAGTTGTGGCAATTAGATTTCAAGGGAATCACTGAAACGTCAAAAACAAACAAAAACAATCACTACTGTTATCAAACCGTAACTACACCGTTTCAATGAAGTAGAGAAATTCACCAACAGGAAACTTTTCACCATTCTAATGGCGATTACTCGAAGAGAAGCATTTTAGGACTTGAATAGATATGATAAGTAAATAGCTGTCATTTTAAAAGTTTTGGCTGCATTTATAATTAGTAACTCCAAATTGAAACACACGTTATCTTGGACGCATAACTATTTGGAGTATATTTCAAGACAAATAGCGTTAAACAACAAATAGTGGAGAGTAAGCTGGGGAAGTTCCTCATATTACTTACCTTTCATATGTATTCTTCCATGTGCAATTCTTATTGTAAATAAGAAATTCTGGACAAAGGATGCGTTAAAGTTGATGCCTTTTCTCCAACGGATTTAGCTACTACTTTTTTATAGTCGTAAAATGTTAAAGCTTGTCCTACTATTTCTTTAATATACGGGATTTACCTGTGTACTCCTCGACTGATATGATCCTACTCAGGGTATGACATAATAGTTTGAGGCTATCACCTTACTTAAGTAGGCGTTAAGAGTAGAGGATCGAAGCTCTTAGCACCTCCATGTTGCACTTTCCTTTAGTCTTTTTTATATTTTCTCTTTTTTCTTTGCTTAGAACACGACTTAACTCTTTCAATCGGAAGGCCGAACCAACGCATGACCGTTTGTTATCATATCGCTGGCAGGCAGCGCCCATGGGCAATATACCTTATTATAGGAAATTAACAATGCATGTAATTAACGCGAATTTTTGAAATTCGCGTTAATTTTATGTATCTTAATTTATCTCATTGTTAATTAAAATTACGTTAATTGAAAGCATCGTTATTTAAAGACACCTTTATCATAAGCAAAGCTACAATTCCTCTACGTCACCGTCAGAGTCGGTTGATGCATCATCATTTAATATTAAGTTTAAAATGTCCTTAGATTCATCAGTGTACCGATCGTCTTCTCCGAGGGGATAACTCACTTCTTCAAATTTCTTGCGCAAAATGTCTATCGCATTTTTGTCATCCCATTTCACGGTCA